ACAACGTATATTAAAAAAACAGTAAGTTGGTATTGTGAAAGTTGCTAATGTTATATATAAATTTCTTTTTTTTTATTTATTTTAGTCTAAAATCAGTAGATTACCGGCATATTTAACCATTCAATTCGTTAGATTCTTTTATAAAGAAAAAGGAGCAATAAATGCCAAAATATTGAAAGATGTTAAGTTTCCTATGGATTTTGATGCGTTTGATTTGTGTACTCCAGAGTTGCAAGAAAAACTATCCGCTGCAAGAAGCAAATTCAAGGTAAATATTAGTGATGGGATCACTCAAGTGAAAAATACTCGGTCACCCGAGTATTCATATCCTCGGTATGTCTCGAGAATTTTTGTCGATCCTCGAGGATTACTCGGCACGCAACTAACATCGGGTGTGGCATACCGTATACAGGCGATTTACGATTTATGCTGGTATGCTGGAACCTTTTATAGGTATAGAGGGTAGAAGTTAACCGTTTAATCACTTGCTCGCATATCGCACGTAATAATAATCGGTAACTATTGATATAGTAATAAAATGTTGTTTTTTTTCTGTGTAATAATTCAGAATTGAAACATTTGAAAATTCATAATACGTCAGTTTTCGACTTTCAAAATTCCATTTGACAAAACCACAGTTGTTTATTTGGGTTAAGGCTTTGGAGATTTTGCTTTATTTGCATTTTTAATTTTTATTTTACATGTTTTCTTGTAAAAAAAACCTTTGTTTGTTGTTGTACGTTGGGAGAATATATTCTGATGAAAATATAATCGAAATTTAGTGTGATGGAAGACAAGAATAATGAAAATATTGCTGTATATTTTATTTATTTTTTATAAACAGTTTTTAAAGCGACAGCTGACTAGTTAAGTAAAATTTCATTAGTTAATATTTTTCTATTATGATGGTCCACAAGAGAAAGACGTTGAAAATCCGAAACAATCATCATTAACATTTTTTTTTCGATTATTAGTTAAGCTGTGCCCAACCCAATTGTAGCACTTTTTTAAGAACTGGATATTATGTCGCACAAAAACTTAAAATATGCACAATAACACAGTACTACCACGTTTATTAGGTACTACAGTTTATTTTCCGTGAAAATACGCTATTAAAAAGTAAAACAAAATATATTTTTCATCTCGGTGACCGATCGCCGACAGATAAACAATAAATAGCGAGCCCTTTTAAAAAATCCGCCCGTATTTCCTAGAATTACTTGATTTCATTTGGCCTGAAAGTGTGCTGAAAGGTTGCCGATTTAAGTCTCAAATCTTATGTGTTAAAGAAAACAAAAATTTTCAGAAAACAATTTAAATCAAATCTATGAAAATTTCTATTCCCACATTGCAACTATACACGAAAATATTAAAAAAGTGTTTGAAAATAAATGATTTATTTTTATATACAAATTTTATTCAGTCATTCAGTACTCAGGCAACAGTGTGTTAAAACAGCAAGCAAAATCACAGCGGCGAGTATTATTCAAGTTTCGATCGAGATATTATACAGAGAAAATTTTATGACCGAGGATTCCTCGGATGATCATCCGATTATTGGAATCCTCGAGGATCAATACTCGAGGATTGTAATCATCCGATTTTTCACAACACTAAGTAAATATGTTAGCTCTCATATTATAGTTTGATAAATACTGTATGATTCTAATATAATTATTTTTCTGTTATGAAACAAGTGATTTTTACTCTTAAAACTTTTTGATCGCATTGTATATGGATTTAATTTATGTAGGAATGGGAGGATGCTCAAGTAGGTGTTGTGAAAAAAGTAGAGAACAAAGGAGATGAAGAGAAGAAGATTGAAAAGAAATATGAGCCTTATTGGTTCGAGGATGGTGAGTTACTCTAAATACCTACTCTACTAATACTCTGCTACTTAACTCTAACTCTATATAAGGTTTTTCATGTAAGGTTTTTTGATTTGCAGTTTTATTGCAAAGATGTTAGAAAAAAGTTTCTAATTTTACTGTTATACTTTAGAAAAAATATTTTCGTGGTTTAATTTAGAGTTTTTATTCATATTTTATATGATTTATTAGATCTTTGTAGGGTGTATTTTTATTTAGGATAAATCTACAAGACATGTTTCAATAAAATGTTCCATACAGGGTGATTCAGTGTTCTAAAAGAGCTCAATATTAGGTTTCCTTTTTTAGTTTTACATCCTAATCACTTTTACAAAATATGCAGGCAATAGTAGCGCATATTTAAAAATATTTGCACAAACATTTGCATTAGATATACAGGGTGATTCATATATAGAGGTGCGCCTCTCATACGACGCGGTAGAACGACATTTTGTATTGAAATCAAATTTTGTGATCGTGTGGAGCTTAATTTAGAGCATTTGTTAAAAATATAGAGTTCAAAAAAAAGTCTCTATATATTAACTGATTGAGTAAAATGTAAGGGTTTTGACATACTTAACATTTTCTCAAAATGAAGAATAAATTTTAAATTTCAATAAAAGCTACCTAAAAAAAATAAACATTGTACTGTAATGTAAATTAAATTAAAACTGGACCCTAAAAGTTATACAGGGTGAGACTAAATTAATATTGAACATTGATCACTTTTAAAAACAAGTTTCTATTTTATTTTAAATGGAATATATCAGTATATTATTCCGATAAATAACGGGGAGTTCATGTCTCTTCAAAATACTATCAAGGTTGCCTACCCTAAAACAAAGATTTTCCTAGATATTTTAATTTTTTTGAGTTAGTGTCAACAAATATTTATTTATTGATAAAATCTAGGTAGTCGTGATCTCCCTCAGGTTACTTTAATACTACTTTAATATAGCTGTCAAATTAGTTCAACTGTAACAACTTGTTATCATTCTGTGTCGGTTAAAACGAAAAAAATATCAGAAATTTGCTGAAAATCGGACTTATTTTACAGCAAAAGAGAAATAATAGAATGCTCAAATGATCCTAATTTATCTAGTCTTGACTTTTTTTGAACTGTCCTGAACTCGACCCATTAGTGTCGACAACGTAGGAGAAAGGATTGTGGCCTTTTTTCGAAGTATTACTCCACTTATGCCTCTTAATGTGAAAAGTTTTTTTGAGAGGAGAATCGTTTTATGCAGGGAACAAGAAAGAAAGCATTTTGAACATTTGATTTCATCTAACTAATTTTTGTCACATAATTATATGTTTACATATCTAGTTCCAATTCTGTAATAATTAAAATATGTTTCAAACGTGTATCTTTTTTATTGCCGTTCAATATGTGACTCTATATTCTTTAATATTTGATAAATTAACGAAAAGTATCTCACAACTACCTATATTATATCAAATAATAAAGATCTACTGACGCTAAATCATAAAAATTAAAATATCTAGGAAAATCTTTGTCTAAGGTGTAGGCAACCTTAATACACTCATGTACGTTAATACTTTTTTTTACAGATCTTGGTAGTAATAATAGTGGCTATTACACGCTCCAAGCTGTGTTGACACACAAGGGGCGATCTTCATCCAGCGGCCATTACGTGGGTTGGATAAGAATGTCGGGTGATAAATGGGTCAAATGCGACGATGATGAAGTATCCCCAGTGACCACAGATGATATTTTAAGGCTTTCTGGCGGAGGTTAGTATCAATAACTGTAATCGATACCAACTAAACTTCTAGTTACGTCATCGAGGGCGCGATTAAATTCATTGTTGCCAACCATGGATACATTCTGACTAACTGGAATTTAAATTTCCCGCTTGCGATTCTTGTGTTAAAAAATGTCAAGGTGCCGTATTTATTTACTGATATTTTGATTAGTGTTCACAGTTTAGTTTTGTACTACGAGTTTTTGATATGATTGTAAGTGATATTTGTGTAAGTTTAAAATTTTGTACTAGCAGACCTTGAACTTAATTTTTTTTTAAGTTCATTTACTTAGAAGTTGTTTGTGTAATAATCATAGACAAAGTAATAATATAGATTAGAGATGGGTTTTTATTTAACTATGTTATTTTATAACAGGTTATTTAGAAATAACATAACGCAACCGTTGCTACTTTTAGAAAATAACAGATATAAAATAACGACACGTAGATATCGACCGCTCGTGATACGAAGTCGGCACTCTACCAATCGCCACGAAATTCTATGCGGCTTGAAACAATTCCAAAAAAAAAACTAGTATGAAAAATCTCCGTAAATCGCGACCACCATCGATAACGGACGGCAGTCGAGATACAGCGGAATGGGGAATGCGCTACAGCGAACGTTGCTGCATCGGTCGATGGCCGTCTTGGGCTCGTAACAGGTTAAAAATAACGTATACTAAGGGCTGGCAAAGGTTAGTCTTGGGTCGAGGTTTCCGTATGTAAGAAGAGTACAATGCGTTTATAATGTACTGAACAAAGAGAGGACAGTAAACACGTTGCCAAACGTATGAAATAAACCGAGAAACTGTGCACATCGGTAAGAGACGTGGAAGGGGAGATATCAGATTTGTCGCAGTAGACCGGTCGACCCAATCAATACCTCTGTCAGTACTTAAAGTTCTAGGGAAAAGTGTACGTCATGCGTTCAGCTTCACGATTTAATTACGTCTCGTGATACTTGATTTGTTTATTTATTAACAAGTCTTTGTAATTTTCCCTATAGCTTGAATTTTTTAAGTGCAAGCTAGAAACACTTGCATTTTTGGTAAAAATAAGTGGAATTGAGTGGGTGTTCGAGAGTGGTCGCGCTATTAGAACTCTGAATTCAAAAATCGATATCTCGAAATCTATTAGAAATAATAGATTGTTTCAAGAACTTTGTTAATATTTCTGCTGTATTTTCTTTGTAGACAGTATGTGAAAATCTTATCAATAAAAAAATTACACGATTGCTGAAAATTGCTATGCTCTAACAGTAAATGGATGGATTGTTTACAATTTTTGAATGGAAAAAACAACCTTATCGAATTTTTCTTATGCAAACATATTGTAAAATATCCGATCTTGAAAATAAAAAAAAGTTGCAATATCTGAAGTGGTTCTTGAGTTATGGCCTGTTATGTGTTAAAAAGTTGAGTTTTAAATTATCGCGATTACTGACGTTTTCTCGTTATAAAAAAATGACACCCTAACAATATCCTTAAATTCCATTTCAGATGCTCAGAAACATGTCTAATGAATTTATCTAGTTATCTCTTGAAAAAAAAGTCTTTTAAAAATAAGCGGTTTGCGATCGTGATTTTACTTTACTTGATAGGGAAAGGCGTATCGGCAACGCCGCAACAGCACACCGTCGCGCATCGTGTCGGTCGGTCGTATTTCTCTCACTCCGACTTAATAAGATCCCTATGTTATTTACTTCCACACATGTAAATGCCGACCCAAAAGTAACAGTTGCCAGCACGGTATAAAATAAGCAACTTTTTTTAACTAGTTGCGAGCATAACGCGTGGCGGTTGAGATAACCGGAGTGGGTAAGTAACGCTGCTGCATCTGTCGATCGTCGGTGTTGGGCTTGCAACGGGTTGGAGAATAACGTATAGAAAATAAGCAGTTATTTTAGAAACGTTGATTTTTAACCTGTTACGAGCACAACGGGCGCCGGTCGAGATAAGCGGAGTTGGATAATAACAGCTTTTTCGCCTGTGTCGGTCGATCGCGGTGTACGGTGGTCTTAGAATTTAATTATTTCATTTTTAATACAAATGTTTGCAAAAAATATAACTAAAGGGCATTTTGCGTTCTCTAAAACATATCGTGGTGTGAGACAAGGTTGTATAGTATCACCCATACTCTTCAACATCTATGGAGAGTACATAATGAGAAAAGTCTTACAGGATTGTTCAAATAATGAGAAGGTTGAGTAAGATCAGTGCGGAACATGACCTCATGCTGAACAAAACGAAAACGCAAGTCATGATAATAGACCGAAATTCTACTAACATCAGGGAGATTGATGGTTTTGAGGCGGATGAAAAGTTCAATTACCTCGGATCTCTCATAACAAACAAGGGAGGCTGTGACGAGGAAATCAAACGCAGACTAGCAATAGCTCGTAACTCGACTATAAAACTAACACGAATATGGAAAGATTCTGCAATATCCCAGCACAACAAATTAAAATTAGTAACCACATTGATCTTTCCTATCGCTACTTATGCATCAGAGACCTGGACTCTGAAAACTACAGACGAAAAATAGATGCTTGCGAAATGTGGGCCTACAGAAGAATGCTGCGAATTTCATACGCAGAACATCGAACCAACGCACAGTGCTTCGTCCCATGGACAAAAATCGAAAAAAAAGTTAAAATTTACTAATATCTGAATATGTAATTTTATACTTATAGCAATGTTCAACCATCCTGTATATTATTTTTCATAAACAGCGTTTTTTTGTTAGCAAATATTTTCACTAAAAATAAATTTTGCGATCATTATCTTATATCAGTGAAAAGAATAACATTCATAGTAGTTCTGTATATGGAGTTAAACGTTACGTACTTAATTGAAAGTCACTATGGATATTGTTAAACAAGGTATGTACTTTAAATTTATTTCTAAACAAGTTTGTTATTGTTTAGTTTTTATTTATTTTTAAGATGATTCTTAAATGGGTATAAAAATTTTACGTTTTCAAACTTCAAAAGGCATTTAAAAAACATATCAAAACATATCGTATTTATTGAATATTTTTGTTGCCATATTCATACACTTTTAATTTTTGCATAGTTCACCTGCGTCTGCTTGCGACGAACTTTATTTTATAATACTTTTCAAATGGAGTAAAATTGATAAGCAATGCCGATCTGGTTAATACTTGGCTTGATCATAAGGACAAGAACTCAAAATTATTTGTATTTCAAAAAATGTGTTCTTTATTGGATATTGATGAACCTTCCAGTCCAATGAGATAACCACTTGTGCCTGAGCCCACTATGTTGGAGCAAACGTGGCATAAAAATGTTCCCATCTTTCAATTTATTATAAAACCTCATACCCAAGAAAACGAAAAAATAATATATGGATATGGTCTATTAAAGAGGTAACTATTAACATCCGAACCCCTCATACCAACAAAAAGAACAGTAACAACGCGAAAAAGTAACATATTAGAAAATGATGTACAGAAATATTTTATATGTGAGGATATTTCATCTACCTGTGATTTGGATAGTACAAATTTGGAAGATTCTGTCAGCAATGATTCTTCTGAATCAGAGTAGTTACGATCTATGCATTTTGTTGTCCTAAAGTAAATTTATAATATCTTAAGTTTTTTTTTAAATTAAATATAGCATTAATGTTTCTTTTTCATTAAAGAAAAACATTTTTATCTTATATTAGGTTTATATTGTAGGAATCATGTTCTAATGTTATTCCAATTCTTTTTTATCACAGGAATTTCTTTTAATACTTACACCGTTTTCATACTATAAATTATTATTTCCTTAGATGGAACAGAGCTCCAACATTTTTATTATTTATAAGATTTTTTTCATAAACGTGGGACTAAGAACATCATCATTTAGTACAATGAGAGTACTCATCATTTGTGTCAAATAAACCTAGTTTGAATAAATTGCCTACAATAAAAGAGAAGTTTTGCATTTTTGTCCTCTAGAGCCATATGTTCGAAGCACTGTGCAACGTTTCAATTCTAAGGCAGTTGAAAGTTAACACAAAACTTTCAACCAAAATAAACCAGTCATGCCTTAGGTACTCTTGGCACATTTCGAGAAGAACAGATGGATGGAGAACAACGATCGGAGCAATTGAGACATGATGTCACCATTCTCTTTCGAGAGTTAACGGACGAGAAGAGAGAAAAGATATCGACATTTGAATTTATTTCGATAGTTTGAAAGTGATTTTGTTTTTGCTTATTCGGATTTCTGGGTATTTTTCGCATCTATAATGCATGGTAAATAAAAATAATTATTGATTGTAACTGAATTAAGGAAAATTGTCTTGATTAAGCTTCTGTTAATAAAATCGTTCTGAGCAAGTTTATTTTACTATTTTGCTTTCTGCAAACTTATTTTTATATATTTATTTACATTTTAAAGTTATTACTTGGTTATTAAGTTTCGGTTACTTAGTTATTTTTATTAATATTTTTATACCGGGTGCGTCTCAAAAGTGGCTCACCCTTATAACTTTTTTATTTTTTCAGTTAAAAAAACGAGATTTGGTTTGTTAGTATATGACATAAATTAGGATTGATTGGTGTATTCAATTGTTTTTGGTCACTTCCTGTTTCACCGGAAATGACTACAACTTTTGATTTTTAAATGGCACCCTCGGTATTTTTTTACTTTATTCGATAGAAAATGACATTCTGAATAGAATGACATATCATATGTCAACTTTTGACATTCTCGCTTAATAAAAAATTGTTTTTTAAAATTTAATCCAGAGTGCCATGTGTATGTTAAAAACACTAATTCTTCATCAAGGAGCCTTAGAAAAATAGATTTGATCGTCTAATGTTTTTAGTGTCTTGTCCTGGCCAGTTAGAAAATGCTCAAATCGTATTTTTAATCGTATCTCAATTTTTTCAAATGGAACGAGGGTGACTCATTAGCATATTTGGAAAAAGCATTTTTTTACGAATAATTTGATACCACACACTTGGTATTTCAAGTCAAATTTTCGTTACGAACCGCAAGTTATAATTTCAAATAAACCATATGCGAAAATGTCAAAAGTTGACATATGGTATGTCATTCTATTCAGAGTGACATTTTTTATCGAATAAAGTAAAAAAATACCGGGGGTGCCATTTAAAAATCAAAAGTTGTAGTCATTTCCGCTGAAACCGTAAGTGACCGAAAACAATTGAATACGTCAATCAATCCTAATTTATGTCATATACTAACATACCAAATCTCGTTTTTGTAACTCAAAAAATAAAAAATTTAGAGGGGTGAGCCACTTTTGAGACGCACCCGGTATATATATATGTACTTTCATTGTTTTTGTTTAAAACTCTTCAAAGACAATTTTACTTGCCTGTCAGCAATAACGATATCAAGAATTTGTGAATGGTGATTTGAAATTTAGTGATTTTATTTTTTTCAGGCGATTGGCATTGCGCATACGTTCTTCTCTACGGCCCGAAGCGCCTAGAACTGATAGAAAAGGACGAAAAAATGACCACAGAATAATATATCTTTTCCATAAAAAATATATCCCTATGTGCAGTAAATTACAAATTGTAATCTGTGTAAGTAAAAAATAAAACACATAGTTTTTTTTTCATTCTGTATATTTGGAACTTTTATTTCGAAAAAAATCACACTTTTCAAACACAACTAATTACAACGATAAAGGAAATCGTGTACAGAGTAAGAAAAAAATACGAGCGAAATATATTGAGGTTTGTTTTATTTGCATTTTCTTTGAGCAAGTTCATTTTTTGCTTACCCTGTTTGAGGTCACAAATACACCAAAAAATCGTGTGTGTCAACTATAAATCCCTGATTGTCAGCTAAAATAAATTGTCAAGAGAGAATTGTTGCTCGGAATTGCACAACGGCAGTAATACTGCAGTAAATAAGGACACGAAAAGACCCAAAAGTCTCAGAAAAATGAAAAAGATTTAATTAAAAGAAAATAAGGGGTAATTATTGGGAAAACTGGAAATCGTCAGATTTTCACCAGAATTGGTATACATCCTATTTTGAGGCCGTAAATTACTAATCTGAACTTTTCTTTTTTCCTGACGGAAAATTATTTCAACATTGAATTTTTCTTTATTTCAGCCCCCTATAAAGTAATAATTTCACTATATTTTCATTATATTATAGTTTATCTAAGAGCCACACTTGATTGAGGATCGAAAATTGTCCAAAATTTTACCGAAAAACAATTTTCTTAACAAAATAACGAAGAAAATTGAAACCAGATATGGACCAGATGGAAGTTTGACATTTCATATATCTTTCTTTCTCTCTCCTATGTAATGAGAGAGACAAAAATATATTCTAGAACTAATCTTGAAATTTGAAAACTTGCAACGTTGCCATATCTTGTATTTTTTCGGGCGATTAGGGATTTTAAATAAATAATATACCCTGACAATAATTAAATATTAAATATACCTATATCTTGCCTATATCCACAAAGTTGCGCGAAAGAGTTTCGATTAGATTGGTTTCAACTATGCGGAGGAGGTTAATTATTTTTTGTTATATTATATTAAAAAAAGATTAACCCCCTCCGCAAAGAACTTATATAAAGACTTTTATAACCATGAAATTGCACGAAAGAGTTTTGATTGCATTGGTTTCAACTTCTTTGCGGAGGGGTTTAGTCTTTTTTTGATATAATATAACAAAAAAAAAAGATGAACCTCCTCCGCATAGAAGTTGTAACCAATGCAATAAATACTCTTTCGTGCAACTTCGTGGTTATAGGTAAATAGATCTCGTTAGTAAAATAGCAGTTATGGGAAGGAGCCGTTCCTCTGGCGACCGCCTTTCGTAATCCCAGAATGAGCGAAAAAAACGCGCTAAATTTAGGTTTAGCATTGGCAACGTTGCTTTAAATGCCAGAAACACAACCCATAATTTTCAGATTGTTTACAAATTTATTTTAGCAAATTTTCCTCTATTGCGCATAGTAACCAATTCAAAAAGTAACAGAAAATAGCAAAAACCACAATGTTTATTGAATACCTAACAAGATATGTGCTAGAAAACCTTAAAAATATGAGAAATTAAGAAAAATTCGATGTTGAAATAATTTTTTCGTTTTTCTGAAAAACGCCAGGAAAAAAAGAAAAGTTCAGATTCGTAATCTACGACCTCAAAATAGGGTTTGGTTTCACCAAAACGAATTTTGGTGAAAATCGGACGATTTCCAGTTTTCCCAATAATTACCAAATAAAGTTGTACTAAAGTTCGTTCAATTTTTCATACTGCAAAATGAATAATTTATTTTTGATGTAGAATTTGGAAGATACTTTCTAATAAAGAAAAAAAAAACAAAAATTGAAAATTATCAAAATCATTTGGCGGTTAAGATACAAAAAAAACTATGATGACACACCAAATTACAATAAAAGTTAATTATATTACACACACTTAATTTTTAATAGTTTTGTGCCAAATAAATCCACTCAACATTTTCTTATAGAAGTTTTTCTAATATGTCTGAATTGGCAGTATATGTTAATGTAGGGAATTATACAAAAAAAACTATACTTTAGTTTATGAGACTTTAAGAATTTTTGATGACGTTTTGAAAATGTAGCACATATTACGTATAAGAAGTAAAAAATCGTCATTAGTATCCCTAAGTCTCATTAACCATACTCTAAACTGTAAAATAATTGACAAACACTAACTTTGTTTTTAACTAAACAAAAATTGAAAATTTTGATATATTCAATTATACAATATTATACAGGGTTATTCATATCTCATTCGACACGGAGTATTGTAGCCACACGATTAGATTTTTAGAAATTAGTCACGGGATCATTTTGGAGGACTACTAAAGCTATAATTTAAAATTATTTTCAAAAAGTACAGAGTGTCCCAAATAAAGAAAAAATAACAAAGTTGTATTTTTCTAAAGGGAACACCCTGTATATTATTACATTTTTAGTTTCTACGATTAAAATAAAGGTAAATTTAATTATGGTTTACCGCACTTTATTTTTTACCGTTTTTTGAAATATTTACGATTTTGTGAAAACGCAGTAACAAAATTTTAATGCTTCATTACTCTAGACGTATTTAATTTTTTATAACCAAATATTGTACTGAAAGCTTTTCTATTTATTAAATTTTGTGTTGCAATAATAATAATAATTATTCTACCTTATACAGAGTCTCTAAAATTTTATGTTAAATAATTACTAGCTTTACACAATAATAACTTGTTTAATTTAAATGGAACACCCTGTATAATTTACGAGAATCAGATGCACAGTTTAATTGTCTATCAAATTGTATTATACCATTTTACCTATATCTTCAAGTTTTCGTAGAAAATGCATTTTCTTATAATTTAGACCTCATTTATCACTATACCCATGGAATATTGACATTTTAGATTTTCTAAAGCAACATATGTACAAAATGTACAGGGTGAGTCAAATTCGACGCTTTTAAATGGAAACACCCTTTTCTATAGGAGATAGACAGAAACTAATATCGCTGTCTGGAGCTCAATTTTTGTCAAAAACATGATGGTGAAAACCGCATATCGATATCTGTTACCGTTTCGGAGTTACGGGGTGTTTTTCAAAAATGTGCATTTTTAACAAATCGCTGTAACTTTTTTGCTATGGAAAATTTTGTATTTTTATGTAAACATTTCCAAAGCACCTTTTTACGTAGAATTTAATGGTTTAAGTATAATTTTTTTAAAATTAATAATTTAAGAATTATCAACAGAAAATTGGATTTTTTATATGGGACACCCTGTATATTTTTAATTTACTGAAAAGAATTTAAAATTATCTTTCCAAAAATATAGTACACTTGATATTTTGTTATAATCCCCTTTGATATACAGAATTTTTAAAAGTTCGCCACTTTTAACTAACAGGCTCTGGACCCCTTATTGATGATATGCCCTTAATGGAACTCGAAAACATATTTTTCCAGCAAGACGACGCACCGCCTCTGAACGCTGAAGTTATGAGCAAATTTTTGCAGCCAATTTCAAGAATAATTGAATAGCTAACCAAGATCCCAGCCGTTGGCCGTCGAGGCCGCCTGACTTAGTGCCCATGGATCTAATCTTATGGATATATTTGCGGAAGAATAAAGGTTCCTTATTCTTCCGTATAATCTAGACAAGAATTAGAAATACTTAGCAGTTATGAGAGGGTATCTTTCACCCCCACTGAGTTAATGAATTCCGCGAGAAATGTTCAAAAACTGCCCCGTCTGTCCATAACAGAATGTCGTACACCTGTAACAAAATCTCATGTCTTAGTTTGCTATTTATTTTTATTGTTATTAGATATAGTTTAAATGTGTTGATGTTGGTTAAATATATTTTAAATTGTTATAAAATGCTGCATCTCTCGCAAATATTATTTTCGTTTTAATTGATGCTCACAGTTAGATTTTTTGCATTACAGCCGGTGCCGTTCAAAGCCTACTTATTTAAAGCGGGCGAATTTTTATATACTCTATATCTCGAAGAGGAATCGAGCAAAATATCAAGTGTGTTATATTTTTGGAAAGGTAATTTTAAATTCTTTTCAATAAATTAAAAATATACAGGGTGTCCCATATAAAAAATCAAATTTTCTGTTGATAATTCTTAAATTATTAATTTTAAAACAATTATACCTAAACCATTAAATTCTACGTAAAAAGGTGCTTTGGAAATGTTTTCATAAAAATACAAAATTTTCCATAGCAAAAAAGTTAAAGCGATTTGTTAAAATTGCATATTTTTGGAAAACACCCCGTAACTCCGAAACGGTAACAGATATCGATATGCGGTTTTCACCATCATGTTTTTGACAAAAATTGAGCTCCAGACACTGATATTAGTTTTTGTCTATCTCCTATAGAAAAGGGTGTTTCCATTTAAAAGCGTCGAATTTGACCCACCCTGTACAGGTGGTAAAAATAATAATATTGCAAATTCATTTGTTTACAAAAAGAAAACTATTTAAATGTTTGTAAAAGAGTGTATGAATTAAATATACCACCATTATTTCCGCCCAAAAATTAGTTAATTACATACTAAATTGTTTTAATTAATAAATTATTCTAAATAAATATGCATTTTCACACATGCACTTTCTTATGATTTAGACCTCAATTATCAATATACCCATGGAATCCCATCATTCAAAATTTCTAAAAATATAATCATTTGGCTACAATACTTCGTCCGTGTTGAATGAGGTGAATAACCCTGTAGAAACGATCAGATCTTTACTTTTTTGTGGTATTATATATAATATATATATTTTTTTATCCTCTTATAAAAATGTCCTAAACAAGAAGGTCACACATTAACAACTAAATTATATAGTGAAAACGTTTAAATAATGAAATTTACACTATATACAAGTCTTTGCTGGATTAAACAAGTGTAGTAGTAAGCTATGAAAACATATTTTACTAGTTTATAATGTTCATGATAGGGCTAGTTGTATTGTAGTTATTCAGTTTACGGAAACAAGCATTTGAAAAATATAATTTACAGTACCTTTTTACATTCCTATACTAGTCTAAGAGCTACCAACGTTTTCGAGAAAGTATTTTAAGACGTCTGGCCCTTTGATAT